CCACCCAGGCGCCCCTCACTGGCCACCTTTGAAATGCTCCATGGCCCCCAGCCCCCTCTGGCTAGTAGCTGTCATACTCAGTGATGCAGACATAGAATATGTCTATCGTAGAAAATTCTACTGAACAAAGACGGTGCAGAGCAGTGCTTGGCACAGAATAAATCAATAAATGTCAAATGAAGTGGGACACCTGGCTGGCTCAGTCGGTAGAGCATGTGACCCTTGATCTTGGGGTTTGACAGGGCTGGGATTTGGCTGAGGCCAGGGAGGGGGCTTGTGCGAGGTCAAAGTTGGATCCTGTCTTTACTTAAGTTTGGATTTTTTTTTTTGCATTACTTGTGATTTTTAAAAATATTTCATTAATGAGGGAGGAATGTGGGGGCTTATGAAAGGATAGCACGGGAGATCCCGGAGTGTGGTTTCCCACTGCTGTTGCAACGGGTCACGCCAAACTTATTAGCTCAGCACAACGGAACTGTTATTTCACCATTCTGGAGGTCAGAAATCTGAAATGAGTCTTCCGGAGTAAAACCCAGGTGTGGGCAGGGGTGGTCCCTCCCGGGGCCCCAGGGAGACCCGATCCTGCCTCTTCCAGCTTCCAGAGGCCCCACATCCCTGGCCCGCGGCTCCCTCTCCATCCTCACCGCCAGCAGCACAGGATCTATCTCTGGGACTCCCACCCTCTGCCTCCCTCTTGTGAGGACGCCGGGCCCCCTGGGGAACCCAGGGTCACTCCCACATCAGGATTCGAAACTTACTCCCATCTGCAAAGTTCCTTTTATAGCACACAGATTAGGGAGCGGGTATCTTTGGGGGCGGGTCATTATTCAGCCCTGCCACACTTGTGATGTGGGCACTGTTCTGTATTTGTGTGCTGGTGGACACACAAACTTACACAGTGATAAAATGGTACAGAACTTAATACACAAAAATGCATACCCAAGTCCAAGTAACACTGGAGAAATCTGAACAAGATGGGTGTATCACATCAGTGCCAACATTCTGGTCATGATATTATGCTAGGGGTTTGCGTGTGTTTTGCACCAGCTACTGCTGGGAAACTGGGTGAAGGTTGCACTGGGCCTTCTGGATTATTTCTTACATCTGCAATGCAGCTCTACAATGATCTCAACATACATGTCGATTTTTTTTTAAGATTTTATTTTTTTGACAGAGACACAGAGAGAGAGAACACAATCAGGGAGAGGGAGAAGCAGCCTCCCACGGAGCAGGGAGCCCGATGCGGGGCTCGATCCCAGGACCCTGGGATCATGACCTGAGCTGAAGGCAGACACTTAACGATTGAGCCACCCAGACGCCCCCATATCGATTTTTCAAAAGAAAAAATGCATGAAAATATTACTGACTTATGTGCTGAGGTTTTTGGCATCCCCTTCAATTTGGGGCTCACGTGCCACACTGCTTGACAAACACTTTCCTCTCTCTGGTTCCACTTTATTTTTTTAAAAATATTTTATTTTTATTTATTTTAGACAGTGCATGCACAAGCAAGGGGAGGGGCAGAGGGAGAAGCAGGCTCCCCACTAAGCAGGGAGCCCGATGCGGGACTCGATTCCAGGACCCCAGGATCATGACCTGAGCCAAAGGCAGACACTTAACCAACTGAGCCACCAAGGCGCTCCCAATTTTTTTTTTTAAAGCAGAGGTTCCTATTTTTGACAAACTACAAGTCCAGAGGGGTGACAGAGCCTGGCAAACATTCTGTAAGTCGCTCCTGAGGTCTGCCCTGGGCAGTGAGAAGAGGCAGAGCAGGAGCCCAGATGAATTCTCTCTCACTCAGCCTGGCTTGGGGCAGGGGCTGGGCCGACCCCCAACCTGACATCAGAAGTATAACAAAGGGGTATGGGTTTCATTGCATCCCCCAAAAAGGCATCCCCCAGTACCTGGGAATGGACCCTTATTTGGAAATAGGGTCTCTGCAGTCAGCAAGTTAGGACGAGGTTATACCAGAGTGGGGGTGGGCCCAGCATCCAGTGGGC